CCACCGGTATACAAACCCAAAGCTACTCCACGTAGATCCTTATAAATTAGCTAATTGAGTATCTAATCAATCTTATTTTATTGTTCACATCTAGTCAGTTGGCATACTTGAAGACTGGCTATGAATAAAATCATCTAAAAGAACAATTCGTTCAGGCCAGTCTCAACTCCCTACACTGTAGCTTAATGGACTGACACCTATCAGAAAACAACTACTCCCCTGGCTAATACCACGAAGGGCGTTGAATTATATCTGACAGGTGAAAATTATCCGACAGGCAGATGGGGCGACGACAAACCTGTTGTTTGCTGTATGCTTCAGCTTATTTCGAGGAATGATACTCTGAAGGAATTTGATTTTCAATTATAAGAAATCATCTACTTTATGTTGATGATATGCACTACCTTGCACTGAAGAGTGGCCAAACAGCCTGAAACTGGTCTGTAAGTGTGTTCCAATAATTGAAAATCTATTGTGGCAGTTGTATCGCCAACAGCAAATGCAGGAATAACTTCTGTGAAGAATCCTGCACTCACACCTGTCGGATATAATTCAACGCCCTTCGCGGTATTAGCCAGGGGAGTAGTTGTTTTCTGATAAGTGTCAGTCCATTAACCTACAGTGTAGGGAGTTGAGACTGGCTTGAACGAATTGTTCTTTAAGATAATTTTATTTTATTATGTGATGTACTTTGTCCTCTAAGGTAGTAATCAACGGTGATTGGTTCGAAAATGTGAGTTACGAATCATTTTCCCTACTTACAGGAAACACTCAAATAAGTAAGAGAGATGACATCTCCTCTTACGAAGTCACCATCTATGGGATCAACAGAGTACTCAATCCTCGAATATTGAAGATAAAGGAAGGTCCCCAAAATAGTCAGTTGCAATGCCAAGCTTCGACATCGACCGCCGACGAGATTCATCCTCGAGCTTCCACTACAGCTTTTACTGCAAGGCAACTAGTTCAACTGGTGAACCTCGTTTATCTTTGACCTTCCAGGATTGAGTTTTCTGTCGATCCCATAGATCAGAGGTTCTCAAACTTCTCGAGAATTAATTATTTTCTAGCGCCCCCCAATTTTTTTTACTTTACTATATCTTAAGAATCACAATCGCAGTCATTATTTCAATAATTAAATTAGGTGTGTCATGTGAAAATGAGACTTTCTGATGAGTTTAATGTAAAACAACATTTTGTAATATTAGGAAAACTTCATTTCATGTTATTGAAACAAACA